ATCACAATTATTATAAACATTTTACCGACTTTACTTCTTTTTTTAATTTTAAAAATGTAATTTTAAAACGATTTCATTGTTTATAATAATCATGATAACAATTATTATTATCATCACCATCTCTTGTTATTAGTTGTTATTATAAATTGTTTACTGCTATTATAATTACTATAATCGCCACTAATAATAATAATTAATAGTAATGATAATTAATAGTAGCAATCAATGGCAATAATGAACAATAATATGGGTCGAATAGCGCAGTGACTCCGATCATCACGACCACAGTGCTGGTACGATACCGCTCAGGGATCCAAGCCTCTCATCACCCCGAGGTCGGTAAATTAGCACCGGACTGGTCCGTGAAAAAATCCCATTCTACAATTCAAGTGGGAACGCTCTAGCCCGACTATCTCAGGATTCCAGGGAGAATCAACCAGAGCAGCAATTTACGACATTCAAGATGAAATGAAAATCCTCAACCAGTAGCCGAAGCTACACGTAAAAGTTGGAACACCTTAGTGGATGATGGATGCAAAGAAAACGAATCGAATGTGAATGTGGGCAGTGCTGACATCCTCACAGTGGACGTAAAGACGGTTCGTATAAAATAAAAAAGTAAAATAAATTAACAGTGGCAATTATTAAGGGTAAATAATAACAACAATAATGGTTAATAATAATACAATAACTACAGTTATCCTAACGGTTTACCGCCTCATCGTGCCTGGAAAGTGTTCCTAAATGTCGGACTACGATGTACAGAGCTATTGTGTTTCCCTGGAGTCCCGAGGTCAGCCTAGCCAAAGTCTTCTAGGTTGTCATCGCCACAAGCAGTCGCAGCCCTTGTGGATCAGAGGGAGATTTACCACCATACGACTTTGAAACCAAGACGGTGTTGGATCCTGGTATTGGTTTACTCTTAGCTAGGCTTCCTGATGGAAACACCGGACTTCTTCTCAGTTTGGGAGACCCTACCGGGGCGACCAATCCCTCCGCTCTGCATCGCAGTCCGACACCCAGGAACACCTCCCAGCCACGATGAGGAGGTAAACCGTTGGGAGGTAATAATAATAATAATGACAATATTAATAATAATAATAGTGATATTAGGAATATTAATGACATTAATAACATTAATAATATTAATAATAATAATAATAATAACAACAGTAATGATAATAACAATAATTTTAATGATGCTGAGATATTTGCAAAACTCCGGACTGCAGGGTCTGCGGTGGGGATCGAACGCGCTATTGTCCTTTCCGGGTAGTAACGTGTTCACCACCACACCATGCGGATCCTTCGTTTGGCCTGTCTCTCAACTAGTTCTTTCGATCTTTAGCCATCAGCAATCAAACAGAAAAAAAATAATAACAGTAGTGATAATAACAATAATAATAATAATAATAAAGCAATAGTGATAATAATAATAACAATGATAATAATAGTAATAATAATAATTGAGTAGTGAGCAGCGCAGTGGTTAACGACGCAGTCCATCAGAAAGCAAGGCTCTGGTTGCACCTCTTCCCAACGCTCTTCTCAGATTTACGTGGGAGCGTCTTAGAAACGCTCTCTGCGAAAATCAAAAAGAATCAACTCCACCAGCATATACTGTCATGATATCGATCTACGACATTCATAAAGAAGACAAAATACTCAAGCAGCAACCGAAACAACACGTGAAGTGTTGGAAGACCTCGAAGGACGATGAATGCGAGGAATAACGAATCGGATGCAAGAAGTCCTGGGATCCGCATAGTAGATGTGATGATGGATCGTGTAAGATAAAATGAAATAAAACAAAAATAGTAACAATAATAAATCAGTTTCAAACATATTATCGAGAAATCAAAAGTGTTTAACTAGGAATGAGACACATACCTTGTTTTCTCGTTCACATAATGCTGCGTAAAGTTGAGACCAACGCAAGTTAAGTTTGCTAACAGGATGACGAATAGCAGCACCTTGATGAAATGGAGCTCCGTTGGCGATATGGAAAGCGGTGTAGAAAAGTTGCTCCTGAGAACAAAAGTTGTCACTACATTAGAAAACAAGGATGTAAAGCCGATTACAGCCATAATGAAGAAATTAACGGACTTTCATTACAGCCTTCTTGTCCATTTCGTCCTTAAAAGCATGTAGCTCTGTGAGGATACGTGGCACTTCATCAACCTGTAAAAAACCAACTCTATCAAGATTAACACTAGCGACTATACAAAACTAATCTGGTACTTTAAGAGTTTCCATAGCCGGAAACATTGCTAGACGAGCATCGGAAGCATCCAACCAATCTAATAGGTGTGTCAGATCATTGTGAAATGACACCGCCTCCTCTGCTGCTACGAAAAGATCCCTGTAAGAAAGCAGAGGAACAGAGGTGAATTGCATTAGTAGAGGTTTGTAGTTTTCCAAACATTGATGGGAGACAATACCTATTCTTCGCTGCCAAAAGCCTTGCAATAGTTTCCCATCCGTCGTGGAAGGCATCAACTTGAGAGTTAATCACAATCTGTTCTTCAGGGTCGATGATGCCTGACAAAGCAGCAGCAGCCTTAAATGGAAAAAGGACGTTGTTTTCGCTATAATGAAGTCTAGCACTAAGATATTACTTCACGTAATCCAGCGAGTTTATTTTCGATGCTAGTCATGTTGGAAGCTATGGTTTGCATTTCCAGTTGTTGCTCTTGAAGCTGTTTAGGCTGACCAACTGCTGGCTCGACCGATTCAAGTTTTATGTGTATATCATCGATCTAAAAATGAAGAGTAGAAGCCAAAAAGTCCGCCACTATAGAAGATAAAAATGCCGCTCAAGAATATTATTTATAAGGGCGCAAAAATGGCAAAATTATGAAGGCAATGTAATGAAAAATGATAATACTAAAGTAATGATCTTCTTAGAGAACCAAACAGACTTCAAGTACAGTATAGACAACCGTTAATTTTTCAATTAGTGAATTAAATAAGATGAGTAAACAAACCACTCTTTGAAGTTCATCCAGTTCATTCCAGAAATGATTCACTTTCACTAGTACGGAATCCAACACATCCGCACGATCTTCAAGTTCCTTCTCTAGTGAGCACCACAAGTCCGACAGTTGTGCCAACTTCTTGTTAACACAATTACTGGGTAAATCCGCTGCAAATACCATTAGAGTACGATAGGAATTATATGTGAACCTGAATAAATACCTGATGGAACAGAGGACAGTAAATCAGAGGCACTCTCCTTTAAAGCGGCGTAGGTGCTTTTTTTATAACGAAGTGCTTCCTTGATAGCGTTGATGTCGGCAATCTGGCTCTTTAGGAGTGCCAGATCAGATGAAAATGCAGTGTTTTGATGTAGTCTATCGAATACTTCTTTTAAGGTCTGCATGAAATTGTCCACACGCTCTCCGAGGCCACTTGTTGCATCTACAATGCTGTCCAGAGCACGACCACGTGTTTCGACCGCCTTCCTCACATCGTCATATCTTCATAGAAGAGAATTTGTCATTTCCTATCATATCAATATTGGTATCCTTATAAGATAATTATCTCACGACCATCGCTTATAATGAGACTGAGAAAACCAATTTGAAACGGACACAGAAACATGGCACTCAAAAATGCGTTAATTTTCTTAGTTTCGATTGAGCTGCTTTGCCTTTTATCCTATTCTAGAACATGTGGTGATTTATTACAAAACAAAAAATAATAATAATAACTTTGCAATAATCTCGTCGGCCAGCTCTCCAAGTTTAATGCCATCCTCCTGCACACAAATCTCCTTTAATTCACCGACATCGCCACGGAACTGTTCAACAACTGGTAGGTATGCCATGAGTGCAGCAGCAAGTTCCTCAATAAACATAACTGCAGTCAAACCCAAAGCCTTTATTTCTTTACTCCTGCTGTTTGTAAAATCCGAAAAACCGACCAAATCGACGAGATCTGGATGCTATCCGAATGGTTTGCTCAATTCGAAAAAAAAGCGCAGCTTACGGAATTATGTCCACGTTGCTCTTGTATTTGATGTTGTGGGGTGGCCGTAGTGAGTTCAGGAGCAGTTCGCAGCTCATCATCAACTTGATCTAGCCAGTTGGCGAGACGATCGAATTCGACCGTTAGGTGCTGAGACAAGGCTAGAGCTCTCTCTAGAATTTCTGTACGATCCATGCACAGTGCGGTGACCTGAACATGTAAAATATATCAAAGTCATAAACCGTATGGTAGACTGGAAAAAAAACCCATCAATACTTTGACCTAACAATGATAATAAAGAGAGCAGGGAGGTGTAAAAACCTACCTCATCGATGAGATCCTTTGCATGATCGCACTGTTCTGCTATAATAGTGCTCGAATTGCCTGTATCATCGAGCTCGCGACAAAATTTTCTCACTTCCACAGTTAACTCACGAAGACGGCCCTGAATTCATCTAGTGAAGAATCTCGAAAATGGAAGTGGTGGTATACACGATTTTTTAACAAATAATAGAATCACAGAGTAGCTTAACGATCTCACTTAAACTTTTAGCACAACTTAAAAGACGAGTTTTCCATGAAATAGCCTCATTCAATGTTTTGTAGTTCAAAAGCATAATGTTGACTAATTTTATGATTTCTTCAATATACACTTTCTAAAAATAAAGCTGTCTATTTGCAGGTTTCGTTGTACAGTATTCTTGTTAGAGAAACTATAACCTTGTTGGATGTGACGTCATCGTTCATCACCAGCTGACTACGAAGCTGTGAGCGGATGAACTCGGGATCAACGGATGGGGCAGCAGCGGCGATGACACGATCGCGAGCATCTCCGAGCCATTCAACGAGGAAATTCAGCTCATCGAACACAGCGCGACTCTGTTTGTCGGTGACGTCGAGTCGTTCAGCACGCCGTGCCACATGAAAGTAGAAAACGAAATGTATGAAAACTCTGGTTCTATTTCCTTTATACATCTCTGTCATCAAGATACTACTTTAACGATTCCTGCAAGAAACATATGATAACAAAACTAGGAATTCGCCTTGAGCGATGAAAAAGCGTTAGAAAACCAACAACCAACAGTAAAAAAAATGAAATACAGAGATACCTTGTCAGCTATTTGATTCACACGTCGCATCATCTCGACCGTACTTTGAAATATCTCCTCTGCTTGATCCGGACTACTGAGTGCCTGTAGCTGAGATGAAACCGCGACTAAATCATCGACTTCTGGACGCCAACGACTTACTCCTTCCTCCATAGAGAACAGTAACTGAAACGATGCTTCATTCGTCCCCCTTGGCCTCTCAAATAACAGTAGAAAACGGGTGAGCACTACTCATAAGTAATATGCGTTAAAAATATTCCAACTTGAGTTTGAGTGTCAAAATCCGTGCCATCAATCTGGACCAAGTCTTCTTCAACAGCTTCGATCCATTCCATAACGGCATCAAATCCATCGTGAAATCGTTCCGATAAAGGAATTGCCTTAGCTAGCAACACCAATTTTTCGTCAGCTACAACAGCGATGTCTCCATACCTAAACATGAATGTAGAAAATTGGACAAAAAGTTGTCCTTAGAAAAAATAAAAGACTTTCTTTCTAAGTTAAAAAGCGGCTGCTTCTGCTCCTATATTCATCACCAACTACAATTATCAGCAACACCTTACTACGTTATGTCGAAGACTAAGACAGCAAGAACTATCTTAAAGTTCCAAACAAGCAACACCTGTGAGATTTTATCAATATATAGTTCCACACCTTCGTTTAATTTGTTCAATACGATGCTGTAGAAATAGAGCCTCTTCACCACCAGCTTGCCTGTACAGTTGTCTTCCCACTTCTATCACAGTCGAAATTTGTTCATCTCTTTCTGTTATAGCCGTTACAAGATCCTGAGAAATGAAAAATCGCAGTTGAAATATAGGATAATTATATCATGGTTACTTACCTCCACGATATTGCTCTGCTCATTCAAATCATCAGGTGCGATGGCAATTTCGCTGATCTCCTTCATTTTTTTCTCCATATCGGATAACCATACTTCAAGGTTACTGATATCCTAAATTAGTTAGACCATTCACTGCGAACATGGTAGGTGAAACTCCGCATTAATCAGTACATTTGTTGCAGGACAAAGACATAAAACCTCAAACACCCTGATTGTCGGCGATAAGTGGCGAAAGTGAAAACAGAAAAAAAGTTCCAAACAACGCTTTTTTGTTTAACTCTGTACCTCAACGGGTATACACGAAAAGATCGCTAGAAATAGCTATAATCAGCAAACATACCGCAAACAAATCCTTTACGGTGGCAGACATCTCGTTTAGAAGATCTTTGGTGAATCGTATACGATGAGAAATCGACTCATAACGACTAGCAAGTTGATTCGCATGTGCTTCAAGACTTTTTGCATCCTCGACGCTCACCAATGCGCTCAATGTGGGCACGATCTAATAAGACAAGTGTAGTGGAAAAGAAACAAGTAGAGATATTTGGTACGAAGAATTATATCGGTCGATTAACAAAGGGCACGTCAAGCAGCAAATTTGCGTGATGAAATTTGATACAGTAGAAAGAAAAACTGTTTAGTTTATAAAGGAATTTTCCCACGCTTACAATGAAGTATAGAACTAACCACTCTCAGCATCGACTTCCAATCCTAGATTATTGAGAACTACTGGTAATTCTTCGAAAAAAAAGTTAACCGAAAACTAGAAAACTTCGCGGACTTTCGGATGAGTCCGCTGATCAAGGCCATGACCTATCGCAGCCAAAGCGAAAATCGTACTAGCAAAGCAGCTGAACATGGTTACAGTAACTCTAAAAATCCTCTGCGGCCGCATACTCTTGTAGAGCAGCGTGCACCCGCATTTTCAAAGCCTTTCAAAAATAAGTCCCCAGGAAATCAAAAATTTCAACACTTCATTAGTTCTTAATTGATTTAATTGATATTTATTAATTATTCGCTATGCTTATTCCCTTCAAAGCAAGTCCGGAAACCATAAACACAAATGAGGTGTTAAAGAAAACCACTGTATCTTGTTGGACAAAATCCAATCACTCCGATATTCAAAACACAAGCGTCGATTTAAAAAAATGCGAAGAAGGAGAAACAATCTGTGAGCACTGGAGGGCCAGAATTTTGTTGTGGTAAGATTAAGAATGTTACGCTACGCCCATAAATCCGCAGATTATGTCTTATTCAAATCATTGAAGTTCAGTACAAAACAGGATATACTTGTATAACTTACTGGCGATCATATGAATTGTACTTATGGGGAAGATTACACCATATTCATTGACTTTAACAAATTTTCACACGTTCTTTCTGGCTGTTTATCTTGCCGCACATTCTCACGCAGTACTTTTTCCATTCAACTGTTCGCTACTTCAACACAGATGTTGTCGTTGAAGTTGAAGTCGTTATTAGTCGTTGAAAGAAAAGAGTTACCCCTTATAGAAGAACATTTGCGAAAAACAATTTACGGCACGAGCTTGTTCCAAGGGAAACGGTACGGCTTTTGTTGTTGAAGAAGAAGGTAAACAAAGTGCAATCTTACATTTTCCAAGTTCGGACATGAGTTGGCGGTTGCCTGTAGCTCGTGGGATTCCATGCTGGTGTACCACCTCATGTGTTTCTGGAGACAGACATCCTTTGGCGACTTTCGAATTTTCAACTTTCATAACGTTAACGTAAAGATGTTGAATGCGTCGATCGTATTCCTCATCGATGCTGTCGAGAACGGTATCTTTCCAACAGCCGACTAATAAACTGAGTAAACCCCAGTTCATGGTGGTTTCGGGACCTCGTTTTCTGAATTTAGCGGCTTCTTATCGTTCCCGCGAGAAATGAAAACTTGCACGAAGGAGGCGGCAGTGAGATACCGTGTAGAATTTTTGAGACAACGGCGAAATCGGCTAGCAAAACCTTCGGATTATGATATATTCTATTTCGATATGATAATTTTCATTGGGAGACTCCTACGTCCATTGTTTTGAGTGGGGCTTCTAGAATTGCGAACTACCATGAACGGCTTCTGGAATTGTGAACTAACCACCTTTCATATACTTACCTGTCACTTGATTGCAACCTTTTGTCCAAATTGCCTCGTATAATACAATTCGCATAAACGAGAACACACCCACGGACGCATGAATGGATATATTTCTCGCAAACACAGAAGGTGTGTTCCAAACGGCGTAGCAAAAGCAGGGAGTCCATCCTCTGGAACCATCTACGTCTAAGTGAACTAGAGGTCGCTTTTGGTTCCCGATTAGCCGCTTATCCACCAACTAGGGACGCGCAACGTTGCCTTGCTACTAAGTGGCATGAGATCCATCTATCAGGGAGATCCGCGGCAAGTCTCTATACTTGGAGCAAACCACCAACACGGACATCTATCGCGAAGCAAAGAAGAGAAAAGAAAATGTGGTGGGCTTCGAACCACTTGCTACAACTGCCGATGACAGTCGTTAGTTAAGAAGTGACCTTATTTTATACTGTAAAAACATGTAAAACCTCTACAGCTTCCAACGCGAAGTACCAACACGTTTTTCGATGTCAAATTTGCAATAAAACAAGATTCCGACGAATTTTTCGGTCGAATCCTGACGAAATTACTACGGCAACAAAGTTATGCAAAAAAAATCGCACAAATGAAGAGTCGAAATGTCTGTAGGCAGCACTGACCATTCAAAATTGATCAAAATTTTTTACACAGCTATATCCAATCATGCACTGATGATCACTAAAAATGTCGAAGAACCGAGATAGAAAACTCTATCTGTCCCACCATACTCAACGTGCCATCGGCTACTAAACACCACTTTTTAATCTCCTTGACAATTACTGTATAACTACCGATCCTTTCTCAAACGAAATTCCGAAAATCTAGCAATTCCACCCAGGATATAGAAGCTCGAGATAAATATACGTGGAAGGATACGATGTAAAGGCAATGTATGAAAATTTAGTAGTGTACAAATATAGTACAACACAAATGGAAAATCTCAGCAAATGCAGTATTACTAAGCGTTTTTCGAAGATTAAAAGAAACACTAACAGCCAAAGTCCTATTGACATCTTCGCCTCTTTGATAAACCTCCTCTTCAAGATCAAGTTGTTCCACAAGTTTCTTCTCCATTATTTCCACATCTGTTGGTATTTTTCCCAGTGCGCTGAGGCGCTTTTCAGCCTAAATATGAAATCATTTTCGACAAAAAAGTAGGCAGCAAAAAATATATCCACTGGTACAAAACAGAAGAAAGTCTTACACTCACTGGTAATGCGTGAGTTGAAATTCTTGTGAAGAATAAAAACTGACCTGGGTGAGCCAAGAATCAAGAGGAATGATCTCCGCTGCGAAACTTTCAGCCAACTCAACGGCTTTGATTAAACTTTGTTGGCGATCGTGAACGGCGACAACAAGGTCGTCGTATCTAGAATATGACACATGTGAAATAGACATAAAGCTCGCGTAAACTATGATAATAATTCGCTGTGAAACAAGCCTCCTGTTGATTTCTTCATCGCGTTGTTTCAAAGTCTTAACCTCTTTCTCCGCTGTTAGTACTGCAACGAGTTTGGAGATCAGAGCTGAGAAACCCTTCACACTGTAAATGTTGTAAAATGTTACGAACAGAGTCACACGCTTCACACAAAACACACTGCTAACCACGAAATTGACAGATGGTCATCTATGCCTTATTTTTCACTACGCAGTATGCAACTCAGTAGAAGTGGTCCTATTTCCCCGAGTATTTTTTTCGTGTTTCTCGCTCCACCACCCAGAATTTTCCGCCCAGTTCCGTGCCTTCCTATGCTGTAAGTTTTCAAAAAGTTCTTCTGTGTATCTTTTCATGTTTTCAGAATATACGAACATCTTTAATGCGACGAAAAAACTCGTTCGTTATCACACCATATTGTTATTAGGCATTAATGAGTTAGATAAGGTTATAAATTTCGGTTTTTTTCTAAAACGTTGTCTACACACGTCGATTCCATAAGATAACCTTGATCCATTACAGCGACTAGATATTAAACAACAATGAACAAACTACTGGTCAAAAGTTGAATTTTATGGGCTTGAAATGCATAGGCGACAGACGAATCAACCATGATTTTGAATGGTCATGGAGAGTGCGTGTGTGGCGCAGTGGTCGGAGGCGCCCTGGAACACACATAGGATCGATCTCCGTGCCATTGGCCCACCAAGCCTTCCATCGCTTCGGGGTCGGAAAATTAGTACCAGATCTCTCTGGGAGGATAGAATCACTGGCTCGATACGTCCGTTGACCACCACAAGTCAATGTAAACGCCAGATGTGCAATCAATCACCTCCAAACGATGCTTAGTGAAGTCGAATGCATGGTGCATCCTTCAGGGATTGATCAACGTGAACAACTTTATCATCTATTTTATTCATGGAAAGTGGACAAAAGGACAGTGAAGAAAATAACAAACCTTTTGAGCCCATCTCGAAGAATATAAGGAAACTGAATCGAATAAAAAGGAAGAAGGCGATGGCGACAATATAATAGCTGATGATGGTGATAATGTGCAATTCGATCACGTGATGAGCGCAAGATTCTCGATGGCAGTCAGTTTGATATGAAGCAAATGTTTACCTTCAGAATGCACAAAACCAATACATTTATGAATAATGTTTAACAACTGGCCGTGAAAGAGAAGAACAGATGTGTACAATAGAATGGTAGCTCATGTAAAATTAGAGATTTTCAATTTCTGTATCCGATTCTCTTAAACTGATTGTGACGACAAAGTATAGGTATACCTAAAATGTTGCCGGTACAACACGAAGTATGACGGACGGCACAAGTTGTTGAAGACCATTCCATTTATCGACACTATCGATACGGGTTACAAGAGTTTACATGTTAAGAAAATTGTGCACTGCTCGCTTAAAGGGTAATTATCGCTCCGCTAAGAAAGGAATTAGAGGCTCCGAAGGAGGATGAGGATAAAGGGTAAAGCTCTCGCCATTGATCAATCCCTGAGGAATGCGCCATGCATTCGACTTCACCAAGAATCGTTTGGAGGCAATGGAATGCATATCTGGGCTTTACAACGACTCGCGGTGACCTGCCAATGTATTGTGTCGAGCCAGTGCTGCCATATTCCCAGAGAAGTCTGATACCAATTTGCCGATCCCGGATGGAGGGAAGGTTTCGTGAGACTTGGGCGCAGGAATCGATCCCATGTGCATTGCAGGGCGTCTCCAACCACTGCGCCACACGCGCCCCTATGAAGGAGCCCCATCTATAACTGTTCGAAAAATAGACCTTGATTTACGCAAAACAATTGTAGCGAAACATCTAAAGAAGATTTTAAAGCCGAAAATGAACAAACGGATGCCGTACGAATTGACAACACTTCGCACTACCGACGGCGACCAAGCATCACACAACCGACATTGCGAAGGTTGAAAGAGCTAATTCAAGAATCTCTACCCTATCCACCAAATTCTAGACCTCTCGCCTACCGATTAATAATTCTTCAAGCATCTCGACAAATTCCTGTGCAAGGAATGCTTCAGCAATTTCAAAAGAAGAAAGAACGACGACGTAACTGCCTTCAACGATTTCATCGCTTCCAAAACACCAGTGTTTTAAGCAATTGGGAATAAGTAAACTTGTTTCTCTCTGACAAAAATGTTTAAACCCTAATGGATGCAATTTCGACTAATAAAAATTATTTCAAACTAAGACATGGTGTTTTAAAGATAAAGAGTCTTAAATCTTGCACTAATGTAAAGCAAACCAATTGCAAATTAGGAAGCTCGTAGATTTGGTAATGGTTTTAACTGCATATAAACTACATGTGGCATGTGCACACTGCAAAGTTTGCGAAAGTGAATTTTAGACGGAAAAGGTGAATAAGGAAATTCAACAGCTCTAGATTGTAAAACTAATACGTTCGAGTGCAACGTTTGCAAAACCAGTTTCCTAAAGGTACACTTTACAAACTGGCGAATTATTCTGAGTATGCTTAATTATTCCAGACACACCTCTACGAGATCCTTCAGTGACTTACCATCTTGAAGTGGTGATAAAGTATCCCTAAGCATCGAAATTTAATATAAAAGTAGAACTGACATGCTAGAACGGCAAAAATCAAATCCGACGGATAAAGTGACACCAAAAAATCGCTTGTGGTGAACCACTAAGAGTAGAGAATATTTTTTATGCACTACACCTAGCATTTCATGTTTGGAAAAGCTGTCGAATGAATACAAAAAGCATGGCGAAAAACTTCGTATGGCAAAAAAGCAGCCTGAAATAACATGAGCTGGTATCAAACCGTTTGGGTATATGCTAACCCTATTTTCACATCTTTTGTTACCATACTGTTGCATGAAGTACATCATTACACGAATTCGTAATATTCGTTGCAAAGTAAACATTTCTTACACACTTTTTTGCAAACTCTAAATGGAAGAAAATTCCGCAAAAACGGATAACATTGATAATAACGCAGGCATTGCTAACCTGAAGTCCTTGTCTTCAACATGTTTCATGAGAACATCAAACGCATGGAGTTGTGCTTTGGCAACCTAAACGAAGTACTATGAGGTTGAAAAAAGAACAAAACATATACATATACATGTACATAATTGGATGGCCCGTTTTCGCTGGTTGTGCGGGCTCAGCATAATCTCCATTTTTTCGGAGTTTTATTGCTTTAGCCATTGTGGTTCCCTGGAGTCCCGATAGTCAGCCAAATCAAAGTCTACCCGACGTCGTCACCACCACAAGAAGTCGCCGCCTTCTTGGATCAGAGGAAGATTTGCCACCCTGCGACTAGTTTAACACCAGGGTGGTGGCGGATCCTGGTACCATATATACATATATATATATATATATATATATGTATATGTATATATATATGTATATATATATGTAGGTACATATAGAAAAGAATTATTCCTTAATATATATTCTAGAATCCCTCGGAATCAGAATCCCCTATATCAGATCCCTCATGTATATATACATATATATACATGAGGGATCTGGTATATATACATATATATGTATATATATACACATATACATATCCACGGATCTCCCTCATAGGAGGGATCTCGAGTCGGTTAGTCGCGAGGCTACGTGGCGCGTCCCCAGGTGGCGGATAGGAGACTAATCGCGGACCAAAAACGATCTCTGCTTCCCTGAGACGCAGGAGGTGGATCCAGGGGATGGACTCTCTGCTTCTGCTGCGCTGATTTAGCACATACTTTCTGTAATTGCCAAGCGTATTCATGCATGCATGTGTGGGTGCGTTCTTGCTTATGAGGATGGTATTCTACGAGTCAATTCGGCCAAAAGTCTGCAATCAAGTGACTGGGAAGTATACGGGAGGCGGTTAGGAGTCGCCTCCAACACATATGCCCTATGTCCACTCTGGGAGAACCTGGTAAGCTATCCGTGAGTATATCCCGCCCCCACATTCAGAGCCCAGCAAGGCATACGTGGGTATCAAAAATGCTAAATACAGTAAAAAAACGGACCTCATTCCCCTGACCCCGAAAGAGCCCCCAATTTCGCAGCTATAGTAATTATTCCTTGAATAGTTCCTATTCTCTACAATATCACATGTATCCTATATTACTATTTACTTATAACTACCTTAAATCTATCCATTCATAATGTATAAGTTCTAATACCCCTTCGACATGTAGTTTTGATAAAAGCCTCTGGCATACCATCTCATTTGATGTACTTCTCCGCAGGTACTGTGTCATGACCTGGGTCAGCACTGTCTCTGAGTCCCTCTGTGAAGCCCCACGTTATTCTATCTCATTTACATTACTTTTTGATAAGTCTTTGCGTAGCTTTTCGGATAACCTTTATCCTCAAACTATTCAAAGCTCCACCCACTACAGAAGTAATACAGGCAGCCCATGGGCATTCGTTTTCAAGTGTTCTCATCGTTCCTTCAGTCTTCATCCAATCCCTCGGTTCCTCAGTGCTCCAGCTCTAGTTTTCGCCTAGTTTACTTCAGTTTCATCACTTGTTCTCATCTCAATCTCGCACGTATATATCCAGTTAACCACACTTCGTCACATATTACATATTATTGTTGTATTGTTGTTATTGCTATAAACTGTTATAAACCAAACTCGACGTTGTCCACGGCAGTTACGAAAAAAAGTTCCGCGTGGCGAATTCATAGAAAGTCGAGCATTCCAAGTACAGTTGGCGGACAAAAGACAAATCCGACCAACTCCCTAATTCACTGGCCAACTAACACAGCAGCGTTCGGTAGGACGAGTAAGGAGATGCTGCTAAAATCTCACGGCCAATGGAAGCTACCTGGATTTCAAAGAACTATGGTGACGATCTGCAGCTACAATACACGTACACTTGCATCCGACTCCTCGATAGAAGACGTGTTCATGCAATCAAGAAGGATAAAGTAGGACGTCATCGGCCTGGCCAAGAGGAGAAGAGACCAGTCTTTCAACGTCGTCTATGTCACCGTAGAAGAACTATTCCTCGGAACATGAGAAAGTAGAGGAGTCAGCGGCGTCGGCGTTCTCGTCAACACGAGTTTGTCCATGAACATCGATTCATTCGAACAACTTACAACTCGAATCGGACGTTTAGGATTAAAAAGACGTGGATCAATTCCGGCTTTGACAATCTCCGTCGTTTGCGCGCCGACACCAAACTATGACGAAGAAGTTGAAGGGTTCTATATGGACTTGGAGAAGTTCTACAGAGAAGGCCATACATTCTTCAAGGTCATCATTGGAGATTTCAACGCCAAGACTGGTCTAAGAAGAACGTCACATCGGGGTCCACGGATTAGAATGGAACGAACAGGGTGAGCGGCTACCTGAGTTTATCATGGCGACCAATACCATCCATAGTAACTCACCATTCCAGAAGCCCTGCCCCCAGCGCTGGATGTGGGAGTCTGCCAATGGAGAGTACCATAACGAAATAGACCACATCGTAATAAATAGGTTTTGCCTAACCGATCCAGCCTACCCTGCCATTAAAAGAGTAGGCGGTAAATAATGAGTTAAAATTGAGATTGGTCTCGGACTAAATCTCACAAAAACGATGTTCATGAGGAACGGATTGGTTTCGCGTGCCCCATTCACGCTCAATGTAAAGAATATCTCCGAATGCTCCATTTACGTTTATCTAGTTCAGAAAATCGGCATAGGGAGCTTTCAAGAGCATCGAGGGTGTAGTGAAGAGGAGAAAGAACATCCGATTCCGTGCCCACCTTTTCGACTCAACGGTACTTCCTGCTCTAACGTATGCGTCAGAAATCTGGTCGCTGCGTAAGCAGGATGAAAAGTCACTCAGCGTTATCGAACGCGCAGTCGAAAGAACGATGCTAGGAGTATACCGTTCCACACAAGGGATGAGATCCGAAGCTCCGATCTGCGTCAACGATCAAAAATCAAGGTGCCGTTCTGTACGCCAAGCGTTCGAGGATAAGGTGAGCCGGACACATAATGCGTATGAATGACAACCGATGGACAAGAGCCGTTAGTGACTGGATTCCTCGGGATGTTAAACGTACTGCAGGAAGACCACCGACCCGATGGTTAGAGTTCTTCACAAAGAGCCTTGAAGAAAGATATGATGCCCAACGAGTCCCTTGAGCGAGCAGAACCCACTGGATTACTCTTCCACGCGACAGGGAAAAATGGAAGATTTACTGACGCCCGCTAGAGTCACTCTACGATCAACAGGGCTACAGGTTATATATATATATATATATATATATATATATATATATACAATGTATACATATAAAAAAAACATGTACATGTATACAAATGTGTATGTCATCTTCTTGTTGAGCAATTGCGAGGTTGTTATACAGCATACATGGTTTTCCGGCAGTATCACCTTCTTCAGAGCCTGGAAAGGTAAACTGATATAGAATTCACTAGGTCAAACGCTTCAGTAGCAAACAATTATATGATCAACAGCTTCTGCTGGAGCCCATCGTTTTTTAACTGCCTTCCACTGAGGAAGAACAGTGGCTTACAGTCGCATATGGTTGATGACTGCACCACCACACATCAAAAACACGTTCTGAGATACGGGGCTAGGTCACGTGTTATCTCTGGCCATTCTTCCCTGCTATTTCCCGAGACTTTCTGGATAAATATCAAAAATCTTAGAATGAGTAGCAGAGTACCCAGAGATAACATGTGATCCAGCACCGTATCGCAGAACTGATTTTTGGTGTGGAATGGCGCAGCCATCAACCATATGCGACTTTGAGCGGCCGTTGTTCTTCAGTGGAAGGTAGGTAGAACGGTGAGTTTTTCGAGAAGCCGTTGGTCGAATGATCATTGTACAGGTTTTCATCTTTCTGTTCAATCTGTTGAAGTGTTTGACCTAGTAAATTAAGTATCAGTGTACTCTTCCAGGCACTGAAAAAGGCGATGCTGCCGAAACGTCAAATGTGTTGTATAACAACCTCGCCATTGCTGAACAAGAAAACGACATTTATAATCCAACGCTGAGGCTAACAGGAAGTTGAACTTGGGAACTATATATATATACTCGACACTTGATACTGGAATGGCCCGTCCTCACTAGTTGTACGGGCCCCAGTATAATCTCCATTTTTCGAAGATTTGCTGGTTAAGCCATTGTGTTTCCGTGGAATCACGAGGTCAGCTTGGCCAAAGTGTGCCCCAGGTCACCACCACAGGTAGTCGCAGCCCTTGTGGATCAGAGCGAGATTTGCCGCCATGCGACTTTGATACCTTTTGAGACGGTGGTGGATTCCAGTATTGGTTTACTCTTAGCTAGGCTTTCTGATGAAAACGCCTGACTCCTTCAGAGCTTGAGAGACCCTGCCTTATATATATATATATATATATATATATATATCGTCTATAATGTGTAATGTACATATATATATATAGGGCGGCATTATATACGTACATATATATATATATATATATATACACGTATATAATGTCATATATATCGTATATAATGTGTAATATATATATATATATATATATATATATATACGTATATAACGTCAAGGATCCTCCTGAGGGAATCACTAGCTGGCTCACTCCAAGGTGTGTGTGTGTGTAGGACATTAAAAAAATAATTTTATTTATGAAGAAGCCCAACACGTCAACATAATCGATGAGAACATCATAACCTTTCCTTGTGTACCAGTTGACAAATCAGTAAATGTAAAAAGCCTCATTCTTCTGTACGGAAAGGCTCTGAAACGGCAGCGTTGGATACTATGAGAATAAAGTTGTTGCTAAAATCTGAGTTATGCTGTGTTGTCTAGATGTAGAACAATGCGACCATTTATATCTATAACGTTTGAACATTGGC